GTAGAACATTTGTCCGGCAGCGGCGATAAATAGTTGCCACACGCTCTCGCTCACGGAAAAGAACGAGATGGAGAGTGAGACCCCTTTTTGGTCGGAAAGTTTCGTGTGAATTTAGTGCGGCTCATTAAGCCGGACAGTGTCAGTCATGTGTGTATGTTTGTGCCCCCGGTTGCCGGGTGCCGAGTTGTGCCGAGTGTCGAGTTGCCAAGTGCCGGGGCCAATGGCTTTTTTGTTCAAACTTCATTAAGCTGGAGAGGAAATTGCCGGTCCATTGTCATTCGCACTGTCATTGCAGTAGACTTGGTTTAATAATGGCCTGCCGGGCATTTGTCAACGGGATGCTTTAGGACCCAGGCTTTAAATGAGCGCGCTCATTAAGAAAATTAATGTTTGGGATTCATTAAAAGTGTCAAAGTGCGCACATTAAAATTATATAAAACGCCAGGGAGGAGTGACGACCAGGCGGCTCTTGGATCGTAACGAAGCCAACGTCTCGGCTGTTGTCGATTTTATTAACAAACAAAGCATTAAAGGCGCATAAAATGTTGACATAGCGCCGCGGCTTTGTTCCTGGCTGCTCATAAAACTGTCTCATATTGACGGCTCAAGAACTGCCAAACACATGGCTCCACACGCACACAGACAGTCCTTGAACACATACACATACATATAGGTACAAACATATATAGTACACATATCGTGTATCTTGTCGGGGGCATCTCATAAAACTAAACCGCAATTCATCAGCAAATTCCTTTCTGCTGGCTCTCTTTTTTCTGGTCAGAATGTCTGCCGGGGAATATGCTACAATTTTATGCGTCTCGTAAAATGCAAAAAAATTGTTTTTATTATAATTATTATGTTATGCATGGTGACGGCGCAAGTTTATTGCTCAGGCACATAAAAGTCGAAACCCCCAATGAAGTGATGATGCTGTCGAACCTTAGTTGCTATTCGGTGTTCCCCCAACTCGAAAACTTACTGCCGCTGCTGCTGCTGCTTATCTCGATGCCATTTATAATGGCAAATTATTTGAGATTTTCGCTTAACTTTCAGCCATTTGAAACAATGACACACGCATTGAGCAAAGTCAACAACCTCCGCTCCTTCAACTTGCACTATGTCCTTGCAGTATCCTGATGCTTTTAATGCACTAAGGAAAAAGGAGCATTAAATTGGATTACTAAAATTGTAAAATTAGGCACAAATAGTGTAAATTTAATGCTGACTTTTTAGGGGGTTAAATATTAACAAAAAAGAACGAAATTTAAGCACACTTAATAAAAATATTTTTCTTAAAAACTGAAAAGATCTAATGCTGAATTATGGTTTAATGATGCATTTTTTCTCAGTGCATTGATGCAGCTTGGAGGGGCCGCATGTCACGCACTGGAAAATGCTTAACGCTCCCCAGCACATCCACGAATAAACTCGATACGGAAAAGAGGGACGCACACAATGGGAGTTTTACGTGCTGGTTGCCACGAAGGACTTCGCGTATCCAGTTAAAGTTTCTGGCTCATTAGTATCATGCTTAAAATTATTAAATGTGAGCGACTTGAGGGTCCCGTTAGAGCACGCAGAAAGTTAGTTAAGCGCACATTTAGATAGTTCCGATCATAGAAATAAATTGCACTCTTTGCGGCTTGAACGCCACTGGCTGGCTTCAATCTGGGTCCACGCGTCGTATGCGCAATGGCCAAACGATTGCAACAATCAATGTTTTATTGTTGAACAAATACGGTAGGCAAGTCCGAGACCCCAGGCCGCAAGCCACAAAGCCAAGGCAACTTGGAAGACAGGAAAAACCAGGGAAAACCGTAGCTGGCAAATAAATGAAGGCCGTAATTATTGCCGAGGAAAATACAGACGCCGGAACGGGGCCAAAATGTCACGTACTGGCAATAAACCGCTGCTAATTTACGATGCCCCGGACTGCTGCTGTTGCTGCCTCGGCTACTGCTTCTGGTCCTGATCCCGGCCAAAGTCCAACTCGCAGTCCTGTGGTCGCTCCTTTTTGCTCCTTTGCTGCTGTTGCTGCTCAACCACTAACAAAAGGCGGCGGAAGTCAAAAGGCAAACGCCTAAGCAGTTTGACCAACTCGAGAGCTCCGGAATGTTTCGCATTACGGCCGCTGCATAGAAATGGCCATCAAATTGACGGCAAGAGGGCGAACCTATCGAAACTGCCAATAACCAGGACAAAGGCCTAATGCGCATTAGCCGCCCTGGAACGTGCATTAGATATATTAAAATCTAGTAGCTACTGCGAAGGACTTTGCCCTGCTGGCCCTGCATTGTCCGCCGTTGCGTTTTGTTTGCATCCATTAGCGGAAACGCACTGAGGCAGAACAGCGGACAGCAGATTTTCCCATTTTCCCTGGCTTAATTCCCAAAAAATAATTGCGTTCAAAACTCGAAACTCAACAGGCAGCGAAGAGAGCCGAGCGTAAAATGGAAATTCGAGTTCGAAAATGGTTTCTCTTAAATTTGGAAAAGTGGAGAGTTGCCATGATTTTCCGTATAAGAGAGCATTTTGCGGCGCCTGCGTCGGCCGGAAAAGTCTACAGGAAAATCAGCTGGTTTCGGCGATTCCGTCTACTTCAAAACGGCCACATTGAAGCAGTTTGTCAATAGTTACGCTCAAGACGCGACGCGTCTGCCGAACCGTTTAAGGAGCGCCTAGCAGAAAATCCAAAAATTGTTAATAAATTTGAAACTCGAAAGACACAACACCGAAGACTGAAAGCCGAAATCAAAACAAATCAAACTCACTAAAGCAAAGCGGTCCTTAAAAGCAGTTGAAACCATAAATTAAATCACGAGTTCTTACCTGCATTTTTATTCGAAATAATTAAATAACCAAAAAAAGAGGAGCCCGCATAATTAGCAGACAAGCAAGCAGAATCCCTGAGACTGAGTAAAAAATCAAAAAAGATAAATACAAATCAGCCGTAGACACACGCACACACATAAACAAACAGAAAGGAAGCTTTCACAGTGTGTGTGTGTGTCTGTGTGTGTTTGTGTGCGTGAGGTGAGGTGAGGTGCTCAGGAACTGGGGAACATCATCATCAGCATCTTCATATCCTTCGTGGTCGCCGCTGCTGTCGTCATCGTTGTCACATCGCGGCATAAATATTTATGTTGACGAATCTACCTGCGGCAGAGCGTCGCTAATGAAGCGGCCAAAATGAAAATGAAAGGACATAATTATGCTTATGTGTGAGTATAATGAATACGAATTTTATTCCACAAGGCCAACAGCAACAGCAAAAGCAACAGCAGCAGCCGGTTGCCTGCTGCACTTTCTCGTTCTGCTGGGGAAAAACCGCTCGGGGAATTCGTGCATTTTGTTTGTTTTCCGTTATGACTGAAAGTCTGGGCGCTTTGGCTTTATTACACCGCCAGGTTTTCTTGGCCAGGTTTGTTTTGTGCCAAATTGCACTGCTCTTTGGGGGGAGAAGTTTATTGGTTCGCAACTTGATTAGTTCGCCGGAACTCCGAGGGTTGTACAATTAGGCGAGTGCATTAGGAAAAGTTTTTGGCCTGCAAGTTGGTAACTTGAGTGCAAATTGCTGTCGTCCAATCATCTTCATAAAGTTTGCGACACGAGTCCATGAACTCTGTCATTGTTTCGTAGCCAATCCATTGTTTCCATTCAGCTGCTAACTGAGTTATGACCCCATTCGGTGGGTTTGTATTCGCCACATCTGCCAAACCCCCCGCCTAAACCCCCTCCCTCCAGCTAATTGGTATATTGTACGAGTCATTCTTTTAACCTAGGGTGATCAAAACCAAAGGCTGCTAAAAGATTACGCTGACACAACGAGAACAGCAGCAACAGAAGCAAAAGCAGTAAAGGCAGCAACAAAAACAACGAAAGAGCACTGCCAGCAGCAGACATTCAACAGAACTTTTCGTATATTTATTAGAGTATGAATTAATTCAAGTATGAGCAGTGTGCGTGTGTGGGTATCTATGCATGTGTGTGTGTGTGTGTGTGTATTGCGGGGAAAGAGTTGAGCCTTCGAGGCACATTCTGAATCAGATCCGTAGAGCGGAAAAGGGGCGTAGGAAAAGCCACCGCAGCCCGACGCGATTTTCCTTTTTTCTTCTCGACTGCTTTTTTTTCGACTATCCCCTAAGGCGAATTTTGTTGCAAACGTTAGCACATTTTTTTTTTTCACTCCAACCACTGTATATGGCGAATGTAATTCATGTACACGACCTTGGTAAATAACAAAAAATGTGTATGTCTGAAAGCAACAACTCGCTTTCATAATTAAAATGCAGAAAGATATGGCCCGGAGTGGCGACCTCAAATGCCTCGCCAAATGCTCATAGGGAATTATTTATGTTTTGAATTGATTGCTTTTTCATAAACATTTTAAATATTTGTGACCGACCAGTAGGGCTACATTTTAAGCATACTTTTGAGCAGGAAAAAATGCTAAAGCTGCAAAAAAACATACACGTTTGGGTTATGAAGCACCTGTTTACAAGCCTTGAACTCCGAACCGCACAAACATTTTTAGTGCATTTATTAATAGCAGTTTCAGCCGCAGGGAGGGTTAAGAAATCCCCGTGAAAAGGCGAAAGGGGCGCGGTCGAGATTACCTTGACTATGAAAATATTTCTCACACATGAGCTGCTTGGGCGCATCGCATAACCCTCTTTCCGTTTCCGGTGCCTCCCATTAACATTTTAGTCTATGGAATGGCACAAACCGTAAGCGGCAACTATTCAGCGAGGGTTGGGCGAGAACTTGCCCCAAAGTTTTCGCTGCAAACGGAGATGGAGACTTCCGTCGGACTGCAATCCATCAGGCGGCCTTCGCAGCCGTTGGCCCGAGTGTTCGGCTCAGACTGGTTAACTGCCTTCACCTGGGGACACCTTGACACAGACAAAGGTCAGGCGGTGTGTCGGGCGTCCAAAGGGCAAGTGGCAACCAAAGCCAACGCCCCACCAACCCACCAAACCAGCGAACTCATGAGTGAATTAAATAGGAATGCAGATGCCCCAGCAGTTCGCTAGTTTATTGTATATTTCAGAGACCTTTCCGAGGAATGCATACTAAACACAGTTATGCATATCAGTTGCGCTCCAAAACCCGTGGGCGGTTTACACGTATTGGATGACCGTCGTATCTGTCGTATCTTCTGTTTTCTTCAACTCTTGAAAATCCGGGGAGGGGCAGCAGAAGGAGTAGCGAAAATAGCAACAGCATTTGCACCGCGGAGCCAAGTGTTAGCAGCCACATTTTGATTATAACTGAGCAAAACAAACTGATAACAGAAAAATTGTCAACAAATAGAAAATATATATAGTACAGAGAGAGAAAAAAAATATCTATAAATCTAATGAGGTTAAAGTTTATTTGCAATAAAAAATAAATCTAGGTTCTTGCTGACAAAAGATCAGTAAAATGGCATAATAAAATTAGTTCTTTAAAGCATTAACCAGAATTAGTTTTTAATAGTTCACCTCGGTTCTCATTTAATATTGAACTAAAATTATAATATTTTGAAGCGATGCAAAATTGGTAGGCAATGCATTTGTTCTAACAAACATTAATTGCTGTCGGATTTTATCTTGATGTGGTTTTTGTTATTACTTTTTCTAAAAAGAAAATATAACATTTACCTGATTATTTCTTTAAATGTAATATATATTTTAAAGCAATAAAACAGCACTTAATTATGATGAAAAGACGTGACTTTTTAAGAGTGCGGGATTTTCCCAACTCAATCGAGATAAGGATCCCGGGGTCAGAGGGCTTACCGTGGGTTGGCAGATTGTAAAAAACCCGTGAAAGAGTTCGCTCGATTGAGATGATTAATTAATTGGTGGAATCGAGGTAAACTGAGCGCGTCGAGCCGAGCATCATTTATCATGGTGTGGACTTAATTTGAACGCTTCGGCTTCGCTTGGGAAATAAAAAATAAAAGGAAAATTGTGTTATTTTAGGGCGGTACATTATGATTTCGTCTGAGGCTCTTATTTCTTGTTTTCCATAGACTTTGCTTCCTTTGTTTGCCATTCATCTCTGACTCCCCATTGACTCTCGAACCGCCCTGTGTTTTGCAGTTTACGTGTTAAGTGCTTGGCAAGCACGATTAAGGCGCTTTATCACCCGCAACAACGGCAGCAACACGAACGACAAGCACGCCAGCAACAGCAGCAACACCAACAACAGCAACAGCAACAGCGACAGCAGCAGCAGAAGCAACAGCAACAACAAAGGCAGCAGCAACAACACGAGCAGCAGCAGCAGCAGCAACAGAGTCAACAGCAACAGCTGCGACGGCAGCAACATCACAAGCAGCAGCACCAACACATTGCGCTATAGTCTCACACACTGACACGCCCTCAACCCAGATCCATACACATATATATACACACAGTTAGATATATACAAACGAGATGCTGAAAACTGTGACAACAGCAATGGCCGTCGCCGATGACGATGTCCCAGCGAGCATTTTGGAAATAGAACTGCCAGCCATTCTGCTCAACGAGAGCCTCTTCATCGAGCTAAATGGCAATCTCACCCAGCTGGTGGACACGACCACCAATCTCAGCCAAATTGTCTGGAATCGCAGCGAAAACGGTAATGGCAATGGCAACGTCGTCAACAACAACAGCAACAACAGCAACATTTTCGACCTGGATGACGAGGAGCGAGCCGCGGTCGAATTCTGGCTGCTGGTCAAAATGATCGCCATGGCCGTCGTCCTGGGACTCATGATACTCGTCACCATCATAGGCAAGTACTTAATCAAAATCAAATCCAAATTTAAATTACCAAGAACGAAAACGGGGGGCATTAAATTATTCTCAAATTTATGCCGTCGGGATAAGGCTGGTAAAAGTTTCCATATCGCCGGCGAGAAACTGAACTGTAAATGAAGTGAAATTTATGATGCAGAAGATTTTTATTGCGCCCTCTTGGAAGATTTTTATTGATTTTTGGGCTTACAAAGATGATTTGCTGCCGCCCGCTCGCAGAAATGGGCTTGGGAATAGGCCAAAAGCGGCGAATAAGGTGTCGGCTGCTCAAGGGTGGCTGATTGTTTTGGTTCGCCGGATGATGTACGAGGAGTTCTTTGAGTTAAGCGCCGCAAAGATGCGAGCCGAGCAAAGAAACGACCCAAAGTTTCCAAAAATGTTTGCCGCATCACGTGAAAAGCTATTAAAACGGCGCCAAGGCGCCAAATGCAAATTACGGCAGGCAAACACACACACACTTACACACGCTTTCTGGCACACCAAATAGGTGAAGGTATGCAGAGAAAAAAAGGGGCAGTAAATCATCTAGAAGTTTGTTATTTTCGATTATATTTCACCAAGGAGGAACAAGGTTTAATTTGATAAAAAGCAAATCTTTCTTACATGCAAAACCATTAAATTTTAAATTAAATTTTTATTTGAAGTACAACATGCAATAAATGAACACTCAAAATAGTTGAAGTAGACAGTCACAAAAGCCCAGCCAAATTAGCTTCTTTGTTTAACATGCTTTGCATAAGCTTTTAATTAAATGTGCAACAAAACAACTTAATTTATATTCAGCAATCTTTTTTGACAAGACAAAAAGATTACTCAAGTTTCAAACGAGATAAAATTATTCCAAGGGGTCATATAAAGCAAAACTAATCACCAATTTCGGCAACATTTTGCTCCGTGTTAACACACACACACGAACACACACACTAACAAGCAGTTTGGGTGCCGTTGCGAACACACGTCGTATGCGCAACGTTTCCCCGGCAAGACATATGCAAATGCATTTTCTGGCACGGGCCAAGCGACGACAAAACGTTTTGACAACCTGCAGACAAGCCCGCTGTCTCAGCAGCTCCAGTTGCCGTGATTCTAAGAGGGGTTTCCGAGGGGCGATCGAAAGTCCGGGACTGGCGTCACTGTGGCTGCCATGGAAGTAGGGAGGTGGTTTTGGGGTAAAAAGGGGGGACTGCGGCAATTACAATTTGCCAAGTTGCATGCGCTTAATCAAAGCAAGCAACGACAATGATGATGGCGATGATGGAGCTTGCTGCCATCCAGTACTCATTTGCATCCCACAGGCAAGGACACCCAAAGAGATCCTGGGGGGAGCAGAATTGGAAGCAGGAGGGGATGGGATGGGTGGTGGACAAGTGGGCCGCATGCACGATTGCTTGCAATTAGGCTGGAAAATGAAGTCTCCTTTGACACGATGCCTTTGCCACTGATTGATTTTGCACGACTCCATTGAAAGTTTTCCACTCCCATCCACTTTCTTTGCCGAAAAAGGCGACACACAAAAGTTAATGACTCCCGGCCACTCAACGTTTCCAATTAACTGCATTCGATTCCACTCACTTATTCATCGGCAATGAAACGGAAAGCTTACTGCTGCACTTACCGCCTCACTTAATAAATCAATTTATCAATTTATCGCTCTCTAATGGGGCTCCCATGCTTTCTGTTCTGTTTAAATGTCCACAGGCAACGTCTTCGTAATTGCCGCCATTATACTCGAGAGAAACTTGCAGAATGTGGCCAATTATTTGGTTGCATCTCTGGCAGTTGCTGATTTATTTGTTGCCTGTCTTGTCATGCCGCTCGGCGCCGTCTACGAGGTGAGTTGTCCTTTTCTCCTTCGTTCTACACAGAAAGATATTAAACACTTAAATTAAGAGCTTTCAAAGAACTTTAAATGAAATACAGAGCCAGACATTTTAGTCCCACATACTTTGGGTCACATTTTCATTTATTTAAATATGTACAATATACTTGAAACAAAAATTAGTTTTTCGTTGGTTTGAACTCAAAAAAATGTTATGGAATATTTTATTTGTAAAAATCAGTTTAAAAACCTAATTCATTTAACAACAATTAGTAAAGATCGTTAAAAAATATATATAATATGCAGATTTTTGTTTGATCAGCCTAAAGAATTTTCAACTTTAAGTAATTTTGAAGGCATTTGGTTTTGTCATAATTCTAACAAATAATAAGTTATCAAAATGACTAGCTTTTAGCAAGAATTACTTAATGTTTGTAGTGTATTTTGCCACTGCCATTTCTGAACCAACTCGATTACCCTAATGGAAACTTGAGCAGGAATGCTGGCAAATGAAATTAGGCGCCAAAGAGTTGACTCTGGCCCTGGGCAACCTCGTTGCCGGGCTGCTAATTGTTTCAATTGCATCATCACTGGCAAACAATGTGTTGCTAAATGTCACTCCTTTCTTTCCTTTCTCCATCGCCCACTCATCTCCCATGGAAACCCCCCATCCATTCCTCTGCGCCGGCAGATAAGTAATGGATGGATATTGGGACCGGAACTGTGCGACATTTGGACGTCTTGCGATGTCCTTTGCTGCACAGCATCCATTCTGCACCTGGTGGCCATTGCGGCGGACAGGTGAGTCCTGCCAGTCAGCAAGCAAGCTATTTCCCGGTGCGACAGAATGGCAATTTGGTCCTCCTTCCGTTTCAGATATTGGACCGTGACCAATATCGACTACAACAACCTGCGGACGCCGCGTCGCGTTTTCCTCATGATTTTCTGCGTCTGGTTTGCGGCTTTGATTGTCTCCTTGGCTCCGCAATTTGGTTGGAAGGATCCGGATTACATGAAGCGCATCGAGGAGCAGCACTGCATGGTGTCACAGGATGTGGGCTATCAGGTGAGCATTGAACATCACTTAAGGAAGGAAGGTTTAGATGAAAGGTAAATTTTGTTCCTTTAAGAATCTTTTATATTAGTAGTATTTTAGTACATAACATATATGTATATTTATCAATTAAATATATTTATATACATTTTTAACATACTCATTTCACTTTTTATCAAACAGATTTTCGCCACCTGTTGCACTTTCTATGTGCCTCTGCTGGTGATTCTGTTCCTGTACTGGAAAATCTACATTATTGCCAGGAAGCGCATACAGCGACGCGCCCAGAAGTCCTTCAATGTCACTCTCACCGAAACCGACGTAAGTTAATCAATAACGAGGCAATCTCAGTCGAAGCTAAGTGCCTCAGAAAATCCCAGTGATAAATGCCAAGTGTCCACTTAGCCAGCCTCCAAGAAAAAGCGTGAAAAAATTACTCATACGCCCAGTGGCACAAATAAAGATATTCCACAAGTATGCTTCTATTCTACTCCGCAACTTCCCCTCCACATTTTACTTTTTTTTTGGGCTGGCTGAGTGGATGTTGATGCTGCTGCTCAAGAAGTGTATTTGCTTGCCTGCCATAATGAGTGTGTCATTAACAGAAACAATAATGCGAATGGGTATGTGGTGGGTCGGCGTGGTTGGGCGACTGCTTTGTGGGTGGTTGGTGGTCGGGGGAAGTCCTCAGCTGCTCATTAGCATGCCCAAGTGAGCACTCGAAGCGAGCCGCTGTGGCGAAAGCCAAACAAATGCCAGCCGAGATTTATGATCACCCGATGTGTGGCCCTCTGTCAGAGCCAGATAATTACACTGCAACAAAGTGCAATATATAATCAGGAAAAAATTTGATATAGCATATCATTAGAAAAACCCCATTATAACAAATTTTAGTCTTTTTACGTCGTATTCGCTCCTTTATTTTCGATCAAGTGTCCTTTTTTTCGATCACTAATTTAAAACATTTGAAAAGGTGTTAGAAAATTTAGTTTAATATTTCTCTTTGTGTACCTAAAACAACTAAAGCGGTAACGAAAGCCGAGAAATTCCCATTTCGCATTTGATTTGTTTTCATTTCGTTGACAAGACACAAGCCAAATGTGCTGTTCCCCGAACAGTTTTCATCAAGTTCATAAACAAGCATTCCCCATAAACAAGCATAGAACAAGCTTTTCGCACATATAATACTTATTTTTATCGAAAACCCAACAGTGCGATTCCACGGTGCGGGAGATAAAAAAGGAGCGGGGAAAGCGGCGGGCGGATCGGAAGCGCCAGGAGGCGGGGGGAGCGGACCCCAGTGAGCGGGGAGGCAGACACGCAGGTGCAGCGGCGTCCGCTCAAGCGGATGCGCATCTATTTTGGCCGCAACACAAACACGGCCAACATCACGGCGGGATCGGAGGGAGCGGTGGCCAGATCGATGGCCGCCATTGCCGTGGACTTTGCCAGTTTGGCCATTACGCGTGAGGAGACCGAGTTCAGCACCAGCAACTACGACAACAAAAGCCACGCGGGCACCGAGTTGACCACCGTTTCCAGCGATGCGGAAGATGTAAGTGCGCCTGCTGTTTACTATGTCATTACAAAGTACACTTGAACTATGAGTTATTGAAGGGAGTATTACGAAATATTTAATTCGCTAAGATAATAAGCGAAAGTATTTCCTTCATTCAAAATTTTAAATTTCTTTATTGGTTATTTAAATACTGATTTCATAATAACGTTCTAAAAAAACTACATTATATTAGTTCCAATATTTTTTATTATTTATATTTTTTAAAGTCATTATTTATTGGGAAAACTATAAATAAAGATAAAGTATTTATTTCAATGCACAACGAATGCAGTGCTGAAGAAAGTACATAAAGCTGTTTTAAAAGCTAGTCTGTAGAAAGTCATAGTCATTTGTACGTTAAAGCCGTTGTGTTTGTGGGAAACTAACCCTTTACCCCACCCTTTAACCCGATAGTACCGCACAAGCAACGCGAATGAAATCATCACGCTGTCGCAGCAGGTGGCCCATGCCACGCAGCACCATCTGATAGCCTCGCATCTGAACGCCATAACGCCGCTGGCCCAGTCAATCGCCATGGGTGGTGCTGGCTGCTTGACAACGACCTCTCCCCCAGAGCGGGGAGGGGGAGGGGGTGGTGCTGGGATTGGTGGTCCTGGTGGTGGTGGAGAGACAGCAGCCGCAGGAACGGAAGGCAGCAGTCCGGGGAAGAACGCCGGCGTGGGATTGGGCGGAGTGCTGGCCAGCATCGCCAATCCGCACCAGAAACTAGCCAAGAGGCGGCAGCTGCTGGAGGCGAAGAGGGAGCGGAAGGCCGCCCAGACGCTGGCCATCATCACCGGCGCCTTCGTCATCTGCTGGCTGCCGTTCTTCGTGATGGCTCTCACAATGAGCCTGTGCAAGGAGTGCGAGATCCACGCGGCGGTGGCCTCGCTCTTCCTCTGGCTGGGATACTTCAACTCGACCCTGAATCCGGTACGTAAATTGAGTCCCGTGACCTTCTTTTTCTAGATATACCATTAAAAAAATCTTGAATTTATTTCTGCCACCTTAATTATTAATACAAGAGGATTTTCGGTGTTATTTATAGTTTGAAAACATTAAACCCATTTTATTTATTCAACACATTTTGAAAATATTTTCAAATGAACGGTCGAATATTTGAAAAAGTATTTTAATGCAAAGATACATTTTCTCAAATTAAGTAACTTTTTTTAATATTATACACTTCATTGTCTAAAGATTTGTGTTTAACAAACCGTGAAGCCATTTTTTATTCAATGCCTATTTAATTTTCTTTTGAACACCAGGTCATCTACACCATCTTCAATCCCGAATTTCGACGAGCCTTCAAGAGGATTCTTTTCGGTCGAAAGGCTGCTGCCCGAGCGCGCAGTGCGAAAATTTGATTTCAACTGAAGGATAACGAGGACCAGTATTTGTAATTAAGGTCAGACGAAGACGAAGAGGCCAAGGTCAGTATTGACTGGAGCGCAATATGCTACGGAATTGGCATTGTAAAAGGTGTAACTAGCGAGTAGAGACGATGTTTTAGCAGTGACAATCCTAACTAGCTGTAACTAACTAAAAATCCTCATCACACACACGTGCCCCAAAAAGACGAAGCCCGAAAAAACAAAAACAAATAACAAAACTGATAGCGAAACCGAAACCAATCGAGTAAGGAAACATGGAATTATGCTAGATGATACTCACTAGATATAAGTAACGCGTGTGTAATTTATAAATATTTCTAAAGTCTTCCCTGTGTCTTAAAGAAGCCCAAGAGTAGTAGTGCGAGTAGAGAAACCCTAGAATCCTAAGTAGGTCGGTTGAATAGTGATCGGAGATCGAAGATAGTGATCGGTTATAGGCTGGGTCCAAAGAACTTCTTACGCTTTCATATTCTGTGTTAGTTAATCGTGCTTAATTTTAGTCTAAGCTGCTCGCGATGCTCAATTATTTCAATTGGATAAGCACACTTACACAAAAGTCAATATCAGAAGAAAACAAATTAACGAATTTACACCGCGAACTCATGACGACAAATCCAAAATGTTGCATAACACCATAAGCTACCGACGTCACGGCTAATTAGGCAACTTTATTCGGCAAAATTAGCATAAATCCAAAACCGAAAGTTTAACTTTTGTTGCTAATACTCCTCACACAACATACACAAACACCCATTGGAAAAACCAGGAAACCGCAACAAAAAGTTTAGACCATGATACATGATATGCAGTTATATGCCACACGCATTCGTACATAGCGGTAAACCTATATAGTATAGTATATTTATGGTTCAATTTTTGAAAAGTTTTCTTGTAAATAAACAGACTTACAGTTTTAGCAAATAGTAAACCAACCGAAAAACCTGAAACCACAACAAGAGCAACAACCACTCGAAGAACAACTACATATACACATATGTATGTATATATATATATATATATAGATATATTTGTGGGTCGGTACGAAGGGCCATTAAGTCAATGCTGCTGCAGTTGAAACCTAATACGCTTCGGTATGCACATGTATGCGTACATATGTCTATCCTGAATGTATTTGTATGTGTTTTGTGTGTGTGTGTTTATGCAACTTCTCGATGTGTACTTGATGTCAAAGTTATTAAAATTGTGTTTTATCAAAAGCGTACGCCTGCACTCGATATTTTATTCATGGATTAGGTATTTGCTCTAACCGGTCAGTATTAAGTGGGGTATTTATCGGTGGTTTCGGTCAACTTTTAGGTGGTCATCACAGTGCTGGCCCTCAACTCAAAATTGACAAACTTTTCAGCCCGACTCCGACCGCACGCACGTTTGTGTATTGTTTGTAGCTAGGCAAAATGTCAGCGCATTGAAATGTCAAAGTTCAAGTGCACACTCACGCCCCTCAATTTGGGATGGGCGGTAGGCGGAAGAGGGAGTGGCCGGTCGGTCGGTCGGTGGCGTTGGAGATGGATTACGCACTGGCATTATCAACGCCGGAACAGGCCAAAGCCGACAAATGGCCCAGAAGCAGCGGCAACAAAAAATCAATACATCATGCAGGAGAAGCGGGAGAATTTTCTGGGGGGGTTGGGCTGGGAAAATTCATGTAATACATTTCGGTACTTCACATCCCATCGTTTTCCTCTAGGTGTCTCTCGCTGCAAGTAAGCTTATTAACAGTGGCTCTCGGCAGATGATAAATGGAAAATGGAGTGCCGAGTGCCCGGCTGGTGTTCAAGGACCCAAAGTCAGGTGTGCGATTGGAGGGCCATCAGTCAATGGGCCGTAACCACAGTGGCCACTTCAAATTCTTTAAAGTGCGCAGAAAAATGTTAGGTGCCTATTTCATGAAAATTGTTTACAATTAATTTTCAATACGTACATTTTAAGGTAAATGTTTTACGTATATGTTGCAAATGTAAGTGTTTAATGTTGACTTTATTTAAATTGAATTGAACAATAGTTTGAATGATTTAATTTCTGATTACTGCTTAATATATTATTTTATAATTATTACACAATTCAAATTATTAAAAAGATGAACACAGTTTAAAGAGATGGCCAACCAACTAAATAAATGTAATAGTTTTTTCTAGTTGTCTTGCAATTATAATACTCACTGTAGATCAGAGCACAACCACACAAACCCAGAATAATATTTACCAGCACTTTTAATTTCCTGTTCGCCCCGAAGGAAATGCCTCGTGGCAGTATCATAATAAAAGGAGAAAAGAATTACAAAATCTGTCTGGAAAGCGAGTGGGAATTCGGAGCTGGCAGCAAAGTTCGGGATAATGACAAATTAAATAGCGTCAACTTGAGCAGTCAGGCCATGCAAATAATAATAAAGCCGTTCGGGAAACTTTTCAATTTCTGGCGGCTCGGCGGCAAATGAAGCATGGAGGGCCTTGCAAAAGGGAACCGAAAGGACGAGTGGCCCAAATGTGTCACATCATCGATATATATCTGCTACACAATACACACACACACATGTGGAGGTGCGTGCCTGTGTGCTTGGGCCTTTATTAGCCTAGTAGCATTATTAATTTCCTCCCCGGCACACAGCAATGGCAATAGCTGCAGGATAATGCCAATAAAATTCGTTTTATTAAAAAATTCTTTTGCCAAAAAATTCCATAAATCGAATAAATATCGAGTGGCACTCGAGTGAAGGTTTGGGGATGACAAGGGGGGTTTGGGGGTGTGGGGCCACCCAGGAGATCCGGGTATTCGGCGGCCGTTAATATGCCACATGAGTGGGGCGGGCTATTGAGGCAGCAGCAGGTCCAAAAATCCAGCTCTGTTTGCTTGGGCATCAATTTTTGAAGTCTCCTTGAGCCGCACGAAGCGAAGAACTTTGGGCAAGCAATTGAAAAGGTATTAAAAGTATTAAAACAGAAATGAGTGTGGCCCAAGTATCTATCTATCTATCGGTTGCCCGCATTAGGGTGTTCGAGTGTGTGGGTAACTTTTAATTGAATTGCATTGAGAGTGTGCAAATTGCTTTTAATGATTAGGGGCTTAGGGCTCGTGGCTTTCACTAAGACCCAACTGCACGCTTATGCACCGAAAAAAAAAAACAAGTAAGCCGTCCATTTAAAGAGATTTTCCAGCTTTCCAATTATCGGTTTTTTTAAGCCCTAAAAATATTACCACTTCATAAAAATTGGATGTTTTTGGCTTATTTTATATATATTATACTATAAAACTTGTTTTGATCTGTGTTTTTATGCATTTAAGCTTTACTGCCGCGGCTTGCGGCCAGATGCCATCGAGGTGTTTATAAACCTGAACGCTATTCATTAGACCGCTGCAGGTGAGACAGCTCGTAAAAGCGCGTTAACAGCACAAGAGCGGATGGGGGAGAAAAAAATAAGCAGGTAAGTAAGAATACTTAAAGCTCCTGGCACCGAACAAACTCATTGCGAAGTTGTTGACACCACCGGGGGAGCCCCATTCAACGGACGTTGCCAGGACACAAAAGATGAGTGTCCACCGCCCTGGAAAACTTCGACTTTGTAAAGACTTTTTGCAAATTGCGGCCAAGTGCACTTTTCGTTGGCTTCGAATCTGATGCCGCATTGTGGTGCCTGCTCCAGCCATGGACATTTGACAGGTGGGGGCAGCCGGGTCGGCGGTGGTGCGGCGGTGCAGCGGTGCTTTTCCTGAAAGGACAGGAGCAGACCAAACGAGCTGGTTGAACTGCTTGGCTAACTGCTGCTGCCTGTCTGCACTAATTACGAAATAATTGAAATCATTACGCAAAATGAGTGCAAGCAAGTTAAAGTTCGCAACGGGTAAGTCTTCGTCTATAGTTTCACCTAATGAAAGCAGCCGCTCAATATTACAGCGAATTCTCTACGCCATCAAAAATACAAGTGCTCAGAGTGCTCCACTCACCTCAGCGAAGATTGCGACCATTCGGTAACAGAGCACTTAAGTTTTGATATACAGGCGGGCTTCTTTAACTTGTACATCAGGGAAGGGTATCATTAAGGGTATCCTCGGAAAATCAATATGTAATCTTATTTAATTTAATCTTTCGACTTATCTTAAAGAAAATCTTTTCTTTGAAAAGACCTACAATTTTATCTGCAATTTAAAACCTTAAAAAACCCTTTGCTGAGAATCGAGATGTTCGACTGTAGATGGGCGAGAAAAGAAGTTAGCTGGAAGTCCGCTATCGTGTCAGTGCAGCTTATTCTTTTGGCCAGCAGCTTTTGGCGCTGACAACTAGCGCAAAATGCCAAAAAGGACACGTACGTAATGAACACAAACACGTACGAAGCAGCAGCAGCAGCACAAGCAGCAGCAGCAACATCAGCGACAACGCTCAAGACTTGGCCCAGAGATAGGACCTGGCTTAAAGTTTCAGCCAGAAAAGTTGCAACAACGCAGATGAGGCAAAAGGCAGCCGGCTGCCGTTGGCCAAGCACGAACGGCGGAAGAAAAAAACTCAAACTTGCTGGCAAAACTTTTTGCAGTTGCTGCATTTGTAGTTTCCCTACCCGAAGGGCTCCTGGCATTTGTCTTGGGTTCGCCTTTCGGTTTGGGTTGGGATTGGGGTTGGGATTCGGGTCTGGGGCTTGGGTTTGGCTTAGGTTCTCGAAGTGGGCTTGGGATTTGGGGGGCTGTGGATGGGGATGTGCAGCCGGCATGATGCTCAACGCACAGCGGAAGTTGCCAGCCCGTCCTGTCGACTGTTGCATTTTGGGAACTGCGAGCTGCCAACTGGGAGCGGAGATAAGCACCGGAAAAATTATTGCATATTCAATTGAAAATTGAAAAATAAAAACTAGCGTCGAACTTTTATAACTTGAGGTGTCACCTGCCACCACAGGTTATTCTCGAAGGTACAAAACGGATTTTACTTTCACTTATTTACATTTTATATAAATTAAGTTATCTCATAGAAACTTGGAATTGGAAAAGTTCGAGTTAAGAAAGTTCATTTGCATAATTACTATACTTTTTGTTAATATTTATATGTTCATATTACGAAGCTGAATACAGTTGAATAGCTGGAATTTCATGTTGACGAAATAAATATTTTTCTAATAACGGTAAGCATTTATATATTTTTTTTATATACCTATACATTTATTTACATCTATTTTGTTAGGTAATAGGTACAATAAATGTATCAACATGTTAAACATGTTGAACTTAAAACCTCTAGTAAGAAATAAAAATCACTTCATAACCAAATTAAAAACCAGATGCCACCCCATAAAAAATATAATGACTTCGTCCGATTTTTTTCAG